GTTGAGCGAAAAATCTGGACATTTTTAATGGTGAAAAGACCTAGTTAATTTCAGAAAGACCAATTAGTTAACATTCACACACTGGATAGGATCAGGCAAGGCTTCAGAGCCCATTTAATTCACCTACTTACTGAGCACCAACAAGCTAAACAAAGCGCCAAGCTCATACACTGAGAACTGTTTTCATCTTTATTATTTTTTTTTTGTGAGACAGAGTCTTACTATGTCGCCCTTGGTAGAGGGCCGTGGCATCATAGCTCAAAGCAACCTCAAACTCGTGGACTCAAACAATTTTCTTGCCTCAGCCAACTGTGTAGCTGGGACTACAGGCACCTGCCACAACACCCGGCTATTTTTTTTTTTTTAGCAGGCCTGGGCTGGGTTCGAACTCACCAGCCGTGGTGCATGTGGCCAGCACCCTAACCACTGAGCTGTGGGCACCAAGCCTTCATCTTTATTTATTTGTTATTTAATTGGGGTTTTTTTGGCCGGGACTGGGTTTGAACTCGCCACCTCCGGCATATGGGGCTGGCACCCTACTCCTTGAGCCACAAGTGCCACCCGATTGTTCTTTTTTTTGAGACAGAGTCTCAAGCTGTCCCCCTGGGTAGAATGTCATGCCATCACAGCTCACAGCTGCCTACAATTCCTGGGCTCAAGCGATTCTCCTGCTGTCCCCATGAGTAGAACACGCATAGCTGAGGTCTTCAAGGATTATCCCTACTTTAGTCACTCTTATGACTTCACCTTGTTTAAATTGCTTCACTGGGTCATATCTTTTTGAAATTATCCCAGTTCTCAGTTGATTCGTTTCCTCTTTCCTGTCACCCTCCCAATATCAGCTCCAAGAAAGCAGAGGCTTCTCTGTTTCCAGAGCCCAGCCCAGAAACTAGCTCATAGCAAGGGATCAACAGAACTTCTTTGGGGGAGGCCAACAGAACTTTTCAAACTCCGCTCTGAGAATAGAATTTTATTAGCAAATTAAAGCCAAGATCTCAGGCATGCACCATCAGGCTGTGGGCCCAGCGACCAAGATGCCTCTGTAGATCCCATTTTC